CTGCTTCGCTCACTGGTTTACAATTCTACACTTTTGATAGTCAATCAAAGAATATTATATGAAAATCTATTTATACAAAAGTGGCTCCAAAGATTCCTTATTTTAACCTACAATAATATATATGACCCTTTCCAGCAGGATGTTAAAAAGGTCACACAACAAACTGTCACCTTGTCTGAAACCCTGTTCGGTATTAAACGGCTCTTAGAGGTCCTTTTCGATTTTAACTGCTGATCTTGTGTCAGTTAAAGTTATCCTCCATAGCCGTATTATTTTTGCAGGAATGCCAAACGCAGACATGGCTTTATACACATATGAACGAATAGGCTTTATAGTCGACGAATAGGTGGAATGTGTCGATGTGTTTTTCGTGGGGTTTTCCAGGATTTGGCGCAGTGTGAAAATCTGGTCAATGGTGGGTTTGCCAGGTCTGAAGCCGCATTTGGTATGGTCCAATAATGTCATTGGCTTCAGTCGATGGCACTTTATATGCGATGAGAAGGAGACTTATTCCTCTATAGTTGGGGTCACAGGATGCTGAGGTTCCAATCACTGGGCATGCATTCTTCTAGCCAAATCAAATCACCGGGTGCCGGGTGCATGCTCCTGACCAGCATCTGACCACCAGTCTTGAATAGTTCGGCTGGTAACCCATCGGCACCTGCTGCTTTATTATTCTTGAGCAGATTAATTGCTTTTATGACCTCATCTTGGCTAGGAGGTATACACTCTATACCGTCATCTCTTATTGGTTCTGGGGTATCTACTTCACCGCCACTATTTGATAACAGAAGCTTTTCAAAATGATCCTTCCAGAACCTCAACACGCTGTTTGTATCTGTCACCAGGTTTCCAAAGCCTTCGGTTTGGTGTTTTACTCGTTGGTAAAATTTCTGGTCTTCGTTCTGACTCCTGTACGTCTCGTTTTGTTCACGCTTACGTTTGTATACCCTTCACCACACTGTGGTACAGGGTATTATGTCTTTGTGCATATGTTTGTAACAGGCAAAAATAATCTAGATAGACCCATGGTTCCTTTTGAGAATATGCATAGAATCACTTTCTGAGTCGATATATGCATGTCCGTCTGTCTGTCCATGTTAAATTGTAAACAAAGTACAGGTCGCACTTATGATTGGAATTGGATGAAATTTGGCACAGCTCATTTGTTTGGCCCAAGGACGAACCCTATTGAAATTGGAAAAATCGGTTTAGATTTAGATATAGCTCCCATATATTTTCGTCCGATTTAAGGAAAATGGTGTACCAAAGTCCCTATATATCTTTCGATTTGAACGAAATTTGGCACAGAGTACTAAATTAAGTCTAGAAAGAAGTGTGCAAAGTTTCGTGAAAATCGGTTCAGATTTAGATATAGCTCCCATATATAGTTTCGCCCGATTTTAGGTAAATATACCACTAAAGTCCCTGGAAGTCTTTTGATTTGCACGAAATTCGGCATAGCGTACTGAATTGCGTCTATAATAATGTGTGCTAAGTTTCATGAAAATCGGTTCAGATTTTGATATAGCTGCCATATATATATTTTCTTCCGATTTAATGTAAATGGTGTACCAAAGTCCTTATATATCTTTCGATTTGGACGAAATTATGCACAGCGTAATGAATAAGGTCTAGAATGATGTGTGTTAAGTTTCCTGAAAATCGGTTCAGATTTAGATATAGCTCCAATATATATCTTCGTCCGATTTAAGGTAAATGGTGCACCAAAGTCTCTCTATATCTTTCGATTTGCACGAAATTTTGCATAGCGTACTGAAATATGTCTAGAATGATGTGTGCTAAGTTTCGTGAAAATCGGTTCAGATTTAGATATAGCTCCCATATATATTTTCGTTCGATTTAATGTAAATGGTGTACCAATGTCCCTATATATCTTTCCATTTGCACGAAATTTTGCATAGCGTACTGAAATAAGTCTAGAATGATGTGTGCTAAGTTTCGTGAAAATCGGTTCAGATATATATAGCTCCCATATATAGTTTCGCCCGATTTTAGGTGAATGGTGCACTAAAGTCCCTGGAAATCTGTTCATTTGCCCGAATTTTGCATATCGTATTTCCCCGAAATCGGTTCAGATATAGATATATAGCAAAGACGCGACGTTTGTTAGGATATATATGTAGAATATAACCAAAGTGGTGAAGGGTATCATATAGTCGGCCCAGTCCGACTTTACTACTTTCCTTACTGGTTATTGTTATTTCTTCTTTTTCTGAAAATACGTTTCTGCTCTCTCATTTTCTCCATCCAATTGCGTGTTGCTACTGTCTACAGGGTTGCACTATACGCTGGGTTTTTCTCATCAGTAGCATTACGACACTCCTGATCGTACCACGGGTTATCGGAACAATCAGTGCTTTCGTATAGCAGGTGTGTGGGTTGAAAGGATTAGCCTTCTGCTATCTGTTGTTTTTGCACCCATTCGACGTCGAGTTTCCGTGTTGTGGTAGATCGCACCTTTGCTGCCACATTAAGATGAGTACTAACCTTGACTGCTACAAGGTAATGATCCGAATCGATATTCGCTCCTCGGATCGATCGAACATCTAAAACACTGGATGAATGCCTTCTGTCAATCACAACATGATCGATTTGATTTCTCTTTGGTTGATCCGGAGATATCCAGGTGGCCTTGTATATATTAAGAAGCTTGAATCTGGTACTGCAAACTACCATGTTTTTTTCTGCCGCGAAGTCAATCAACCTCATGTCGTTGTAGGATGTTTCTTCATGAAGGCTGCATTTTCCGTCGGTGGGGCCAAAATATTTTCCCGAAACTGCGAAAACTGCATATTTGTAGAATGTTGTCAATATAGGGCAATGTTTTTCCTTATGAAAATGTTATGGTGGTCCATGACAAATTTTCAACAAAATCTAAAGTTATTACAATATTTTCGGTATTGTCATAGCCGAGTTTTCCAAACACCCTGCCAATGCAGGTCCTTGTTTTGACATACCCCAAGTAAGTTTCACGGTAAGGTTTCAATTCCTTCATAAGGTGGAGTATATATTGCATATGTCATTCCAAATACTTCAGAGGCTCTTTGCTTCAAAGTGTTTCTTTCAAGGAAAACTTTTGTTGGATTTGGTTCGACTTCGAATACCAACAAGACCGATTTTTGTCGGTGTTTAGGGCTAATATTCATGGAACGGTGATTCTTTATACATGAGGATTTTATAAACGTTTTTTGAAGCAACACAATCGTATTTATGCAAACTTTCTTTGTAGCAACTATCTCGAGAGTTATTTAGTGATTGCGGAATCAAACGAACTAAATCTTTTTACGGACACATATTCTTGCAATAAGGTCACTGTAAAAAACACAATACATGGTTGTACATCCCACTGTACTAGTACGTTAGATGGTAATGGAATCGTCAGATGGCGCCCTGCAACACTTAATCGATTTACTTTTATTACCTGATAAAACCTGTGTATACCTTCATGTATGAATCTTTCATGATTGATTACACAGGCAACCCTTTCGAACCTCTTCTCCTTTACAAAATCCCGCTTTACATTAAATGTATATTACCATCATCACCACAAAAAATTGTTACTTCATTTTTTATCGATTTAACGCCATATCCGAATAATCATGACACTTTTTTTGTCGATGTTCATAAAAAGTCAAAGATATCGATGTAAATGTATTTTTGTATTATTTTTATCCAACTGCACTGGCAACGGATGTGACTCTGTTAGTTCAATACCATCACTGAAGTTGACACGTGACATATTTAATCTTTATGACATATGAAACAACTCAATATTGGTTAAATTTGCTTTGAATGGCATGTGTTCGGTACTTAGTTGTGTTATTCTAATATTTTATAAGAGCAACTTTAATAGTCGAACAAAATTAAATGAAATACTTTAAAAAGCAAAATAAATCTTCTATTCGCTCTTGCTACCCTGGCTGAATAGTTATTTCTATAGGAAATCTTCTAGTGATTTCTATAGGAAATCTTCTATTCAGCCTGGCTGAATAGTCATTTCTATAGGAAATCTTCTATTCAGCGTGGCTGAACAGTGATTTCTATAGGAAATCTTCTATTCAGCCTGGCTGAACAGTGATTTCTACAGGAAATCTTCTATTCAACCTGGCTGAATAGTGATTTCTATAGGAAATCTTCTATTCAGCCTGGCTGAATAGTGATTTCTATAGGAAATCTTCTATTCAGCCTGGCTGAATAGTGATTTCTGTAGGAAATCTTCTATTCAGCCTGGCTGAATAGTGATTTCTATAGGAAATCTTCTATTCAGCCTGGATGAATAGTGATTTCTTTAGGAAATCTTCTATTCAGCCTGGCTGAATAGTGATTTCTATAGGAAATCTTCTATTCAGCCTGGCTGAATAGTGAAAATCTTCTATTCAGCCTGGTGATTTCTATACAAAATGTTCTACTCAGCCAGGCTGAATAGTGATTTCTATAGGAAATCTTCTATTCAGCTTGGCTGAATAGTAATTTCTCTAGGAAATCTTCTATTCATCCTGGCTGAATAGTGATTTCTATAGGAATTATTCTATTCAGCATGGCTGAATAGTGATTTCTATAGGAAATCTTCTATTCAGCCTGGCTGAATAGTGATTTCTATAGGAAATCTTCTATTCAGCCTGGCTGAATAGTGATTTCTATAGGAAATCTTCTATTCAGCCTGGCTGAATAGTGATTTCTATAGGAAATCTTCTATTCAGCCGGGCTGAATTCTACTTTCCTTCGTATACAAACTCATCAATACACTACCTATGTGTGTGTAATGGTTTAACAATTAAAATAAATCCTTAGTTTGTCATCACAACTAAATGAATTGTAGAGATTAAAAAACATAACCCAATATTTGGACTACAGTATGGCAAATGCATTTTACTTACCATTTTTAAATACCAATAACAACAAAATAAAATTCCAATTTATTGGCAAATATCAAACATAGTAGTATGATTTATTTATTGATTTCCGTATCCTGTTCATTTATTTATTTACAACAATTGAGATTAGAAATATCCATATGGAGAGAACATTATTCGGATACGGATGAATGTGTACGGCCAATGCAAATTCCACATTCTTATTGGAATTCAAATGAATGCCAGTCGTTTTGATACGTTCCGATATTTGATTTAAATTCGTATATGAGTAGTTGAGTGTAAAGCCATAAATCTGCAAAAAAGAAAAGACATGAAATAAAAATTAAAATCAATAAAGCCAATATAAATCAATAAAAAAATTGCAATAATTGTCAATATAAAAGATGGTCTCATAAATTGGTAAATGGACAAACATTAAAATCAATTCGAAGCCAATAAAATGCTGTTAGATTGGTTAATAAGAGGACATATTTTTTTTAATAAAGGAATGATTTTGCCAATGAAAATTCAATGCGAGTTATACAAATACCAATGTAAGTGTGTAATAGTTTGAGGTTGTGTAGGTTTTAACACACCTTATAATTAGGAAACTCCGCTGCCAACATGTTATTATATTTTAATTCCTCATAGGAAGATCCGCTACCAAAAGTTGCACTTTGTTCCATAGCTTGCAGAATATTCAATAGACGTGGTTGAAAGGCTCTAAAAAACAACCATTAATCATCAATAAAAAAATATTTTCCCCAAAACACCAACCGATTCCACACCGTCTTCCGCATAGTTCTCCAGCTACTTATTTTCTTCATAATTTTCCGTTCAATATTATATTTCAATTCACCAATACTCGAAGACGAACGATATTTATATGATTTCACATGAAAACCTCCCTGGGGAGCTGTTGTCCTTTTACCAAAACCCGGTAGCCAACAGGACGAATCGGTAAAATTGAAATTCATCATTGAAACACGTTGCTCCGATTGGATGTTGAGATAGAACTGTATAGGGAGGTACTCAAATTTAAATTATGGAAAATTGTTTACCATAGAAATTACGTACATTATTAGGTGCCACAACCATTTTGATGGAATATAATGGACAAAATACATCCTTGACCGAATATCGCTTCCCACTGCAGGGGTCAATGAATTGCATTTCCTCCTCAGAAATAAATAGAACAAAAGCACATTGTCCATATGGATAGGCTAGGCCTAACACCAACCAACATTGTAGACCCAAATGCAGGAGATAGCTGCAGAGCAAAACACCCAAATCTTTCGTGGAACCCCAAGTGGTATCCAAAAGAAGCTGAAAGTAAACAGAAAAATAAAAAATTTAATGAGTACGGCATTTATAATAACTTCAATCGCTGGGGACTTGTATATGGGGTTATGTACGAAAAACATTAATGACGTCTGGGCCGAACTTTAAATAACCACAACGAGGTGGACATTCAAAATTGCTGAAGACCTGTATATGTGTGTTATGTCGAAATACCGCAAATTAGACAGGTCCTTTGTATGAGGGCTATTGTGAAAAAATGGACCTATACTATACAAATCTATAACTATGCAACAGCAAGTTGCAGAACCTTGAAGGCAAGAAAATATTCAAAATACCAAGAATGGGCCTACCTTGAATATATTTGCATTAAAAATTAGATGCAATAACCCTGAATCTCAAATTACAGCCATTTCGGTTGGCAAATGCATTAATTATCATTGCAAATACCTTAAAATTTGGCGGGACCTGTTTATTGAGGCTATATGGACCTATATTTAAAATGTTATACAAAAATTCTGAATTTCAAATTATGGCCATTTTGGTTGTAATAAATGTAAAATGGGGCCTATGTTAAAACAAGGGGGCTACAAGAAAATTATCTACAAATATGTTGGCATATAAAGAAATCACCTTCAGAGCTGGTCTATAAGGAAAGCTCCAACATCAGCCTGGTCTTTAAAGAAGTTCACCTTAAGTGAACCCCACCAAAGGGCAAGTGTACAATGAATAACACCTTCAGAGGTGATCTATAAAGACCTTCTTCTATAAAGAATACCACATTCAGGCAGGTCAAAAAAATACCACCTTCAGAGCGGGTATATAAAGAAAACGACCCATAGAGAATAAAGAATATCACCTTCAGGGCTGATCTGTAAATAAAAACACCTTCAGAACTGGTCTGGTCTAAAGAATCTTCAGATCTTGTTTATAGAGAATTTCACCTTCAGAGCTGGCCTATACCAATTTAGATCTTTACCAATCAATTTAGATCTATACCAATATCAGCTTCAAAGCTGGTCTACAAGAATTTGAAACAAATCACCTTGAGGTTGTTTTTTGAAGAATATCACATTCAGCCTAGTATATAAATAAGAACTCCATCAATCACATCTGTAAAGAATACAACCTTCAGTCTGATCTATAAAGAAGACCACCTTCAGAGCTGCTCTATAAAGAATAACACATATAAAACCAGTAAGGAAAGTAGTAAGGTCGGACTGGGCCGACTATATGATACCCTTCACCACTTTGGGTATTGTACATATGTATCCTAACATACGTCGCGTTTTTGTTATATATCTATATCTGAACCGATTTCAGGGAAACTTTCCAGAGACAAATATATATTACTTTAGTACGTTGTGTCAATCGGCTTAGCTTTGGATCCTTTTACGAAGCATAGCAACATCATTTTACTTAATTCAGTACCCTATACAAAAACTCGTGCAAATTGAAAGATATGTAGGGACTTTGGTGCACCAATTACCTAAAATCGGGCGAAACTATATATGGGAGCTATATCTAAATCTAAACCGATTTTTATGAAACTTAGCACACATCATTCAAGACTTAATTCAGTACGCTATGCCAAATTTCGTGCAAATCGAATTATTCTCAGAGACTTTGGTGCACCAATTACCTAAAATCGGGCGAAACTATATATGGGAGCTATATATAAATCTGAACCGATTTTCACGAAACTTAGCACACATCATTCTAGACTTAATTCAGTACGCTATGACAAATTTCGTGCAAATCGAATGATTTTCAGATACCTAAAATCGGATGAAAATATATATGGGATCTATATCTAAATCTGAACTGATTTTCACGAAACTTTGCACACATCATTCTAGACTTAATTCAGTTCGCTATGCCAAAATTCGTGCAAATGAAAAGATTTCCAGGGACTGTGGTGCACCATTTACCTAAAATCGGGAGAATATATATATATGGAGCTATATCTAAATCTTAACCGATTTTCATGAAACTAAGCACACATTATTATAGACGCAATGATTCTCAGAGACTTTGGTGCGCCAATTACCTAAAATCCGATACAAATATGTATGGAAGCTATATCTTAATCTGAACCTACTTTCACGAGACATTGCGCACACCATTCTAGACTTAATTCAGTTCGCTATGCCAAAATTTGAGCAAATCAAAAGATTTCCAGGGACTTTAGTGGACTATTTACCTAAAATCGGGCAAAACTATATATGGGAGCTATATTTAAATCTGAACCGATTTTCATGAAACTTTACACACATCACTCTAGACCTTATTCATTACGCTGTGCCAAATTTCGCGCAAATCGAAAGACATATAGAGACTTTGGTACACCATTTACCTTAAATCGGACGAAAATGTATATGCGAGCTATATCTAAATATGAACCGATTTTTCCCAATTTCAATAGGGTTAGTCCTTGGGCCAATTCGGATAATAAATGCGACCTGTACTTTATTTACAATTTGACATGGACAGACGGACGGACGGATGGACGGACATGCATAAATCGACTCAGAAAGTTATTCTATGCATATTCTCAAAAGGAACCATGGGTCTATCTCGATTATTTTTGCCTCTTACAAAGATATGCACAAAGACATAATACCCTGTACCACAGTGTGGTGAAGGGTATAAAAATAGAGGTGCAACTCCCTACAAAAGGAGTATGTCGCAACATGCACCCATTTTGAAAAACGTCAACGGATCTTTTATGTGGAGTTAAAGCGGATCTTTTATGTGGAGTGAAAACTTCGACCTATATATTCACCGCACATATTTTTATATAAGTTAGCCTACCAGAACCCTTTATACAAAATTACAGCCACATCAGTTGGAAAATGCGGCTAAAGTCTTCAAAATACCGAAAATGTTATGATATCTATTGGATCTATGCCAAACATGAACCATAGTAGATAATTTTTGGTATGGACATCCAAAGATAATCAAAAATATTAAATTGCTCCCAAATCGGTTGAAACATATACTCAAGCTTCCCAAAATATCGTCATTTATCGTAGCAGGTTTGATGAATCCAAACTACAAATTTACAGCTGATTATATTGAAAAACTTGTCTGAAACAAGTACAGAACATTGGGGATTACCGTTATATGGGTACTATCCAAAAAGTGGACCTATATTGATCATATTCGGTAGGGAAATTTTACAGCCAATTCGGCTGAAAAACGTGTAAAAATCCCCATAATACTACATATTTGGAAATTCCAGCAGATGGACAGACAGACGTACACACGTAAATTGACATAGAATTATACATACTTTTATGGGGTCTCCGCCTTATGGTATATGACATAAAAATGAAGGGAGCCTCTAGGGTCCTATGTCAAAACACGGACCTATATTGAACATTTTCTGTAAATATCTACATATATCATTCTCCAAAATCCCAAATATCCTAAAATGGCGCTGTGTCGTGATGGGCATTAAATAAATATATATTTTATGCGGATCAAGGATATATACTTCATGGGGTCGCCGACAAATACTTCAAAGTGTATATCAAATTTAATATAATGATGAAAGGTATAAAACATATTCTTCTCTCCATCAGTAATAAATACTATGCTCACCTCATTATTCATCCAAACACCAGAAAAATTAGTACAAGGATCAAAGGACTTCGGCGTCGACAGCAGCGATACAAAACGACACGCGCTATCCAATAAATTCTCACTAGCATCAACTGGAGGTGGTACGGCTTGCAGTAATCTTGTAATACAAATACGTTTTCCTTCCGAAGTACACACTAGAGGCTCCAAAAATTTCTCTGGCATCATTTCCCATGCCTCCATACTCCAATTATTTAGATTTTGCCTAACTTCCGATAATTCGGAACACTCCAAACACTTAGTTTGAATACTGGGTAGTTCAAACGTTGGTTCGACACTGATGTAGCACCACAAACGTATCGATTCCTTTATTTCGGGAAATTGTTCAATCATTATATTTGTCTCGGAATTTGATGTTATATTATCGAGAGAGGGTCGCTTGTAGCCAATTAATATTTTCGGATTATTTAATTCGAATACACCATCGATCTGTAAGGAAATAAATTGTTAATTTACAGTTTTCATAAAATTGAAGGGTAATATTTACCTTTTGCTGTGTCAATATGACACTAATTGGTATCCGATATTCACCCAACCAATTATTTTGTATTCTTTGAAAAATATCCGTACTTTTCAAAGAGGCATCATCATTCCATTGATTTTCAATGACTTCATCGAACAAGCAAATTTTGAAGTCATCACGAAACTCTGCTAAGGAGCCACTGAAAAAAAGAGAAGGATTTAAGTTTATAGACAGAAAAAATACACCACTATGTTGTAAGTTTGTGTATTCGGCCGTTAGTTCGTCTGTCAATAATAAAAGTTTTTAAGAATATATTTGTTCTAAGGACCATCATAGGCATCAGAACAAAGTGTATTTGTTCACAATACCATATTAAGCGTAGATTTTTAAAGACATAGGCGTGGACTTTAAAAAATATGGTTCTAGAGACGATTGTTACCATAGATTTAAATGAGGATATTTATACCCTACACAACTATGTTGTCAGGGTACTATAGCTTTGTGCAGCCCCAAAAGTTTGTGACGCCGCGAAATATTGGTCCTAGACCCACCTTTAAGTATACCGATCGTCATATCTCGACGAGCTGAGTCGATCTAGACATGTGTGTCCGTCCGTCTGTCCATTATAATTTGTAAACACGATACAGGCCACAGTTATGGACCAATCTTCACGAAATTTTGCATGTAGGATGGGTTCTGGCCAATGAAGACCCCTATTGTTTTTGATAAAGATCGGTTAATATTTAGGGGATGAAATGGACCAAATACTAAACCTTCACCACTTTGGCTACATTTTAGATATATATCCGTACAATTACATGTCAAGGAACACACTCATGTCTTTCTGCAACCTCTGATAAATTTAATAAAGCAATAACGTCATTCAAGTCACAATTTAATACGTTGTGCTTAATCGGATAAACATTAGGAGTTTGGGGCACCATTTATGTAATATCGAAATCTGAACCGATTTTCCTGAATTCAGTACGCTATGCCAAATTTCCTGCAAATCGAAGGATATATAGGGACATTGGTACGCCATTTACCTAAAATCGGATGAAAAAATAAATGGGAGCTATATCGAAATATGAACCGATTTTCACGAATCTTAGCACCCATCGTTCTAGACTTAATTCATAAAGGGAAGAATATAAACGGGCCTTTGGTGAACTGTTTACCTAAAATCGGACGAAAATATATATGGGAGCTATATCTAAATCTGAACCGATTTTCACGAAAATTAACACACATATTTTAGACTTAATTCAGTATGCTATGCCAAATTTCTTTAAAATCGAAGGATATATAGGGTCTTTGGTGCACCATTTACATAAAATCGGACGAAAATATATATGGAAGCTATATCGAAATCTGAACCGATTTTCCCGAAACTCACAACCCATCATTCTAGACTCAATTCAGTGCTCTATGCCAAATTTCGTGCAAATCGAAATATATGTAGGGACTTTGGTGCACTATTTACCAAAAATCGGACGAATATATATATGGGAGCTATATCCAAATCTGAACCGATTTTTTCCAATTTCAATAGGGTCCTTGGGCCAAATAAATTAGCTGTGCCAAATTTCATCCAATTCGAATCAAAAATGCGACCTGTACTTTGTTTACAATTTAACATGGACAGACAGGCGAACATGCATATAAAGGTAGCCTCGCGTTGTCAATATGTTGAAGGATTTTTCATAATTGGCCAATTCTAATGGCTGAAATTTGCATTCCAGGATATTGGAGGGTAAGACAAATTTGGGTTTTTAGGTCCAAATTTTCATATAATCCCCACATAAAAATTCCACCCCTTCTACGGTATTAATAAAGTTTTAACCAAATAACTATCTCTTAGAAAGGGTTAAGTTTGCCAAATCTTCCCACTAAACATCACTTGCGGTCACGTTTAGACAAAAGTAGCCCTAAAAGTCCATATTGTCAAGATTCGTATCGGTTTCGCATATCTCGCTTTATAAACGAATTTTGAAGTTTTCAATGACTGTATTGTGACATTTCGTATACGTGGTGATTAAAAAAACTTCGTCCCGGAAATCGTTCAATATAGCTCCATGTTTTAAATAATCGTCGTATACACCTTTTTCACATGTTATTCAAAACATATAAAATATAATTCGAGAATTCCATTTGCAATTGATATCATATCAGATGTAATTCGAGAATTTTATTTGTAATTAATAGAATACCTTTCGAAATTCATAGAATTCCATTTGAAGTTCATAAACTTCCATTTGAAATTCCAAGTATTGTATTTGAATTTCATAAAATTCCATTTGAAATTTAAATAATTCCATTTGAAATTCAAAAATATTGACATATTGTCATGCTAAGGGACATGCATATTCCTTATCCATATAAAATTTCGTGGTAAGTTGTTCATCCATTTTATCCTTTAAATACACTGTGAAACAAAATCGGGATCATGGTCTGGGAGGTGTGAAATTCCTATTGGTGGTGTGAAAGGCCTTGTTGAAATGTGAAATTCCTATTGGGGATGAAAGGCCTTGGTGGATATATGAAAACCTCAGAAGGAAAAATTCGTCGTAGGCCAAAATTCGGAGATATGTCGTGATAATTTTTTGCTTACGACCACCTTAAAGGATGTTCCATATAAATATATCCATCTATAAGTGGAACCTTACTTGTTTAACCCCTACTTCTTTGAATTCCGAAACAGGTGTTATTGTTATTATTCCCATGTCATTACCTTATTTGTACGACCAATTGTTCATTCCATGTTGGATTCGATCCCTCAGCCGTCATGGTACGACCAAATTTGTCCTTATAATTTACAGCTACAAATGGTCGAACATTTGAGTATTTTAAATCTGAAATAAATAATCTTAAAATTATTAATCATAATTGATAAATATATCTTATCTTCTTACTTTGCAACACAAAAACATTCGACGATCCAGGACTACCACCTCTTCCCCTACTATCTGAATCATCAGGATTCGTAATCCTCACTGGTATACCAGTTGCTCTTATGATGTTACAAACTATTTTAAATGTATGAACATGATCCATGGAGAGGGTATGCTGCTGACTGCCCGGAGGAGATGAGGGCAACATATTGCTGCGGGGATTCAAAATCAGCCGAGGTTGAAAAATCAAACGCAGCGTTTGAAAGAAGGCACTGAAAATGTTTGAAGATTATGAAAAAAAATGATTAGAAAAATAAACTTTCAGGTAAGATATTGATTTTTATTTCAATCAAACCTACCTCCAACTCATTGGTTCATCATTCAGCAATAAATTCTCCTGACTGGCCACCACCTTTGTCAAGCGTATACATTGATTCTGTATAGCTTCATACAACTGCTTCAAATATTTTTTACCCTCATGTTTATGCAAATCAATGGGATCCATCCAATTTCCAGGATCCAAAACTCGCTCCTCCGATTCCCATTCAAATTCCAACTCATGTTCCAGCATTGGTATAAATTTCAAATCTCTGGTGCGGGAATCATTTTTCGAATATCGGGATCGTAACAGACGTAGACGAGGGTTATTATCGATTTCGGATATATCACAGAAGCGCAGGAGATCTTCTTGAAAGGTGCAGGTTTTTGTGGTGGTAGATTTTTCTGCTTCCTCTTCACTTTCACTGTTCTCGGAGTGACGCTCTTCTAATTGTCCCGAAGACTCTGGTAATGTCATCAAATTGTTATTATACCAATCTTTGAGCATATTCGGAGGAATATGGGTATGCTGCCCAGGAGCGGGAAATAGGCGTTCCACAATTTCTTGTGGATAAATTTGTTCATCGCTTTGTAGATTCAGGCGTAAATAGCCGGATATTGATTGTTTATGAGAGGAAAATGTAACCGTGATGTTGGGCGGATCATCTCCACCACTTGCCGATGGCAGTGGTAAGGGTACAATGATATTAGCTATCTTTTGGGATCCGGTTAATTTCAGTTTTTGGTAAAGCTGAAAATGAAAAAAACAATATTTAAAAAATCTACACCTAAAGGTCTTTTGGTGGTCGAGAAAAAATATTTAAAAAAATCCACGCCTAAATGTGTTTTGGTGGTCGAGGAAAAAATATTTAAAAAATCCACGCCTAAAAGTGTTTTGGTGGTCTCGAAAAAATATTTAAAAAATCCACGCCTAAAGGTCTTTTGGTGGTCTCGAAAAAATATTTAAAAAATCCACGCCTAAAGGTCTTTTGGTGGTCTCGAAAAAATATTTAAAAAATCCACGCCTAAAGGTCTTTTGGTGGTCTCGAAAAAATATTTAAAAAATCCACGCCTAAAGGTCTTTTGGTGGTCTCGAAAAAATATTTAAAAAATCCACGCCTAAAGGTCTTTTGGTGGTCTCGAAAAAATATTTAAAAAATCCACGCCTAAAGGTCTTTTGGTGGTCTCGAAAAAATATTTAAAAAATCCACGCCTAAAGGTCTTTTGGTGGTCTCGAAAAAATATTTAAAAAATCCACGCCTAAAGGTCTTTTGGTGGTCTCGAAAAAATATTTAAAAAATCCACGCCTAAAGGTCTTTTGGTGGTCTCGAAAAAATATTTAAAAAATCCACGCCTAAAGGTCTTTTGGTGGTCTCGAAAAAATATTTAAAAAATCCACGCCTAAAGGTCTTTTGGTGGTCTCGAAAAAATATTTAAAAAATCCACGCCTAAAGGTCTTTTGGTGGTCTCGAAAAAATATTTAAAAAATCCACGCCTAAAGGTCTTTTGGTGGTCTCGAAAAAATATTTTAAAAATCCACGCCTAAAGGTCTTTTGGTGGTCTCGAAAAAATATTTAAAAAATCCACGCCTAAAGGTCTTTTGGTGGTCTCGAAAAAATATTTAAAAAATCCACGCCTAAAGGTCTTTTGGTGGTCTCGAAAAAATATTTAAAAAATCCACGCCTAAAGGTCTTTTGGTGGTCTCGAAAAAATATTTAAAAAATCCACGCCTAAAGGTCTTTTGGTGGTCTCGAAAAAATATTTAAAAAATCCACGCCTAAAGGTCTTTTGGTGGTCTCGAAAAAATATTTAAAAAATCCACGCCTAAAGGTCTTTTGGTGGTCTCGAAAAAATATTTAAAAAATCCACGCCTAAAGGTCTTTTGGTGGTCTCGAAAAAATATTTAAAAAATCCACGCCTAAAGGTCTTTTGGTGGTCTCGAAAAAATATTTAAAAAATCCACGCCTAAAGGTCTTTTGGTGGTCTCGAAAAAATATTTAAAAAATCCACGCCTAAAGGTCTTTTGGTGGTCTCGAAAAAATATTTAAAAAATCCACGCCTAAAGGCAATGACAAAATAATCTGAAAGGGCTCTAAGCGACCTTTAAAAAATCCACGCCTAAAGGTCTTTTGGTGGTCTCGAAAAAATATTTAAAAAATCCACGCCTAAAGGTCTTTTGGTGGTCTCGAAAAAATATTTAAAAAATCCACGCCTAAAGGTCTTTTGGTGGTCTCGAAAAAATATTTAAAAAATCCACGCCTAAAGGTCTTTTGGTGGTCTCGAAAAAATATTTAAAAAATCCAAGCCTAAAAGTCTTTTGGTGGTCTCGAAAAAATATTTAAAAAATCCACGCCTAAAGGTCTTTTGGTGGTCTCGAAAAAATATTTAAAAAATCCACGCCTAAAGGTCTTTTGGTGGTCTCGAAAAAATATTTAAAAAATCCACGCCTAAAGGTCTTTTGGTGGTCTCGAAAAAATATTTAAAAAATCCACGCCTAAAGGTCTTTTGGTGGTCTCGAAAAAATATTTAAAAAATCCACGCCTAAAGGTCTTTTGGTGGTCTCGAAAAAATATTTAAAAAATCCACGCCTAAAGGTCTTTTGGTGGTCTCGAAAAAATATTTAAAAAATCCACGCCTAAAGGTCTTTTGGTGGTCTCGAAAAAATATTTAAAAAATCCACGCCTAAAGGTCTTTTGGTGGTCTCGAAAAAATATTTAAAAAATCCACGCCTAAAGGTCTTTTGGTGGTCTCGAAAAAATATTTAAAAAATCCACGCCTAAAGGTCTTTTGGTGGTCTCGAAAAAATATTTAAAAAATCCACGCCTAAAGGTCTTTTGGTGGTCTCGAAAAAATATTTAAAAAATCCACGCCTAAAGGTCTTTTGGTGGTCTCGAAAAAATATTTAAAAAATCCACGCCTAAAGGTCTTTTGGTGGTCTCGAAAAAATATTTAAAAAATCCACGCCTAAAGGTCTTTTGGTGGTCTCGAAAAAATATTTAAAAAATCCACGCCTAAAGGTCTTTTGGTGGTCTCGAAAAAATATTTAAAAAATCCACGCCTAAAGGTCTTTTGGTGGTGTCGAAAAAATATTAAAAAAATCCACGCCTAAAGGTCTCTTTGTGGTCGAGCAAAAATATTTAAAAAATCCACGCCTAAAGGTCTTTTGGTGGTCTCGAAAAAATATTTAAAAAATCCACGCCTAAAGGTCTTTTGGTGGTCTCGAAAAAATATTTAAAAAATCCACGCCTAAAGGTCTTTTGGTGGTCTCGAAAAAATATTTAAAAAATCCACGCCTAAAGGTCTTTTGGTGGTCTCGAAAAAATATTTAAAAAATCCACGCCTAAAGGTCTTTTGGTGGTCTCGAAAAAATATTTAAAAAATCCACGCCTAAAGGTCTTTTGGTGGTCTCGAAAAAATATTTAAAAAATCCACGCCTAAAGGTCTTTTGGTGGTCTCGAAAAAATATTTAAAAAATCCACGCCTAAAAGTCTTTTGGTGGTCTCGAAAAAATATTTTTTGGTGGTCTCGAAAAATCCACGCCTAAAGGTCTTTTGGTGGTCTCGAAAAAATATTTAAAAAATCCACGCCTAAAGGTCTTTTGGTGGTCTCGAAAAAATATTTAAAAAATCCACGCCTAAAGGTCTTTTGGTGGTCTCGAAAAAATATTTAAAAAATCCACGCCTAAAGGTCTTTTGGTGGTCTCGAAAAAATATTTAAAAAATCCACGCCTAAAGGTCTTTTGGTGGTCTCGAAAAAATATTTAAAAAATCCACGCCTAAAGGTCTTTTGGTGGTCTCGAAAAAATATTTAAAAAATCCACGCCTAAAGGTCTTTTGGTGGTCTCGAAAAAATATTTAAAAAATCCACGCCTAAAGGTCTTTTGGTGGTCTCGAAAAAATATTTAAAAAATCCACGCCTAAAGGTCTTTTGGTGGTCTCGAAAAAATATTATTTAAAAAATCCACGCCTAAAGGTCTTTTGGTGGTCTCGCAAAAATATTTAAAAAATCCACGCCTAAAGGTCTTTTGGTGGTGTCGAAAAAATATTTAAAAAATCCACGCCTAAAGGTCTTTTGGTGGTCTCGAAAAAATATTTAAAAAATCCACGCCTAAAGGTCTTTTGGTGGTCTCGAAAAAATATTTAAAAAATCCACGCCTAAAGGTCTTTTGGTGGTCTCGAAAAAATATTTAAAAAATCCACGCCTAAAGGTCTTTTGGTGGTCTCGAAAAAATATTTAAAAAATCCACGCCTAAAGGTCTTTTGGTGGTCTCGAAAAAATATTTAAAAAATCCACGCCTAAAGGTCTTTTGGTGGTCTCGAAAAAATATTTAAAAAATCCACGCCTAAAGGTCTTTTGGTGGTCTCGAAAAAAATAGTTAAAAAATCCACGCCAAAAGGTTTTTTGGTGGCCCAGAAAAAATATTAAAAAAAATCCACGGTGGTCTCGAAAAAATATTTAAAAAATCCACGCCTAAAGGTCTTTTGGTGGTCTCGAAAAAATATTTAAAAAATCCACGCCTAAAGGTCTTTTGGTGGTCTCGAAAAAATATTTAAAAAATCCACGCCTAAAGGTCTTTTGGTGGTCTCGAAAAAATATTTAAAAAAATCCACGCCTAAAGGT